CTATCTCTGATCCACTAAAGGTACGACTCCAAAGAAACACAATTAGGCTTCCCCAGACTTTCTTTCCCTTTCTTATGTAAATGACACCATGGAACCACAATCTTCTCTTGAAGTTCCTTGTTGTCCTTAAAGAAAATACCCTCCACGTGAACACTTTTGGGTTGATCTTTTAGCAGATATCCTAACTGTCGGCGAGCTAGAACAGGATTGTAACTGATTCCCCCATTAATGCTAAGGAGAGGTACATTGGAAAAGTCTACACAACTGTCAATAATTAATATCCCATCATATACACGGTTATACCAATCAATATCCAAGTAGGTCAGAGCCATAACTTTTTGTGACCAACGTCCTTTACTGAGATCCCAAAAAGAGCTAGATTTGGGCAAGTGCGAAATAAACCACTTGTAAAATAAAGGCACACAACAAGTAATCATTCCTCCACCATGAAAATTTTGGAGATGCACAGAATGGTAAACGTCAGCTGTAAAGTTGGTACCGGGTTGTTCTTCATGAAAGCTTTGATGGTGTTAAGGTCAACAAATCCTTAAAAACTTGGGAACAAGGACACTCTATAGATAAGTAAGGCGAGGATTGCCTCAAATGCATTCATGCTCATATGATCAGCATAATACTGGGCTTTTTTGCTCAGGAAGTCTGTTGTTAATCCAAAAGTTCCACCTTTAGTAATCATATTGTCTTTAATATCAGATAACTTCAGATATATAGCTCTATAAATGTCCTGTTCTTTAGGGTCCTTCTCCAGGAAAGGGAAAGGAGACTCATCCAAAATGGGCAAACCAATCAATTGAGAATATTCTTCTAAGGTAGGTAAAAGCTGATAATCTAGGAAAGTAAAGCAGTGATAGTCTGGATCATAAATCTGCAATAAAGTAGAAAGAAGTTCACTATCTACTTGAGTCTTCAACAAAGATAAAAGTTTCCCATACTGGTTTCTGAATTGTTCTTGATCTTCAACCAAAGCTCCTAACTTCCTTAGGTCATCCAATTTAAGACTCTTGATAGAATATTTTAAAGTGTTTTTTCTTTCGCAATCCATAATGGTCCTGCAATGTTTATAAATAAAATTGAATTCCATGAAACCAATGCGATATGATGTTTATGAATGCAAGGATGCATAAACACAGATAAGCACATACATGAAGCTGCACACATAAACAAACAATCAGGAAAACCTAGGTTTGTAAGCAACAAGCATGGAGTAAAAGGGTATACCCATCCCTAAGTGGTGAGTACTAAAGGTTCAATGTACCTGTAGGACAAGGGTTCTAAGAGGTTCCTAAAGTCATCAGTCCATCTTTCAGATATTATCAATTTCCCGAATACTCGGTGGTTAACAATATTCTCAAGAGAACCTCTTTCGAGTGTAGTATCGCGTATCAACTATTTTGGGACTACTCCCCCATAGTTATCCCACTACGTCCTAAGAAAGGCCAAGTTGAGTTAAGGGTAACTAAAAGTTCCTAGTATCGCAGACTCCTAGGTCGAAATAGTAAGTGTTTTCACGAATACTCGTTCAACAGTACTATTTTCAAGAGGGCCTCAACTGAGTGGTGATTCTCAAGTTAGCTTGGTCGAGAATCAACTCCCTATAAGCCTTCTCAATTATATCACCTTCATATCATAAGTACACTTAAGTCCGGGTGTAGGACATTTCTTACCACACAAGGATATCAACCTTAAAGCATAAACAAATATAAATAAGCATATATATACAAATAAGCAGATATATACAACAATAAACACAAAATATAACAAGTTAGGGGAAACCCTCTCATCCCCATTGAAGTCGCCATTTCTGTCGCGGTGAGAATTGGATATCAAGATATTGGATTAACTTGAATCTTAATTCGGAGTTCACCACCGGTCTTTAATTTTTCCAAGGGAAGGGAAAAAGATCGAATTACCCACAAGTATGCAATGCAAATGCAAAGCTAGAGAATCTAAGGTTCGGGGGTTGGTTAAACTTAGGGAAGACATTAACATCCTAAATATTTGTAGTACTCTATAGGAACCTCTTATTTTATCGTGTTATTGTTGTTTGCTAAGGGTGAAAGACCTATGAGGTTTATTTCTAATTATACTCGCCAAGACATCACATCTTGTACCTACGTATCCTGACGGGAGTGGAATTAGAGTATTCGTAGTTCCCCTAAAGGGATCGAGGAACCATTGACTATGGCCAAAGTTCTAGGAGGGAGAAGGTTTGTTGATTGATTCTAGGAGAAGAGACAAGTCGCCATCTTAGGGAGAATACTCGACTTAACCGCCACAAAATTATAGAAGATGGTCTTTGCATCGCATTGAAGGAAGGGCTCCAACTCGGATTTTTATCGATGAGTATGCCACGTACCTCCCTCCAGTGAAAAAGATTCTACATATTATAATTATATTATGGGGTAGGAGAATTACATCGCAACCATGTAGATGAATCATGTCTAATTTTCTTGTGGGGATAATAAAAGTTTAAATTGATAAGTTTTGCCTAAGTTGAAAAACTTAAGGAAGTCTATCCTATCTTAAGGATAAGGAGGGCCTAAGCTGATCAACTTGAGAAATCAAGGATCAAGCGGGGGAAATGATGCAAATGAAAATGTGTTGCATACAACTTATATAGTCATATACGAGTTCTTCCCTTGAACATGAGCATGCAGATATATTAGTAAAGGAGGAAAATATAAGCACTGAGCATCACAACTATGAATTATAATTGAATACTCAATATATAAGCCATGCAACATAATCAACTTATAAAATGAGATATTATAAGATAATAAGTCAAGCATGGATAAAAGCTAAGAGTGCACGGGAACACAGAGATTTAGAAAAGGTTGATATGAATCATGAATAAGGCTCTCTATCTCCGTTACAGTCAACTACCTAGCTTAGACTAGCACAAATATTTTATTAAATAAATTAGCGATCACAAAAATAAACGGAGAAAAAAGATAATAAAAAAAGTGATTAATAGCCTTTTTTTTTGAAGTAATTTATAAGAAGTGAATCAAAAATAATTATCACTTAAAAAAACAAATTTTTATTGGTTGTAAAATGATTAAATAAGTTAAATTAATAATTCACTAACAAATAATTGTTTTTTGTTTATAAAGTACTTAATAATAAATATTTATTAAAGAAAGGTGAAAAGAAGACAAGCTAAAGAGAAAGGAGGAGATCCAGCATTGTAGACTTGAGAGGGGGTCCAGCGTGGACCCCTAGCCAAAATCAACTCGTCGTTTGATAATGATGAGTCAACTAATTGACTCTGATCCACGGCTAGGAGTGAGGATGTATCGTAAGGACGCACACACAGAATCAAGACATAACATAAAACAGACGGAGAGTAACCACACATCCCCACTCGTTTTCTCTCTCTCAACTCTCCTTCGCCTCCTTCTTCTCCGTTTGAACACTCTTCTCCCTCCCTCTTGAAAAGCCTCAACGACGACGTCCCTCCATCTCCCTCACTTCAACCCTCGGTTCGCCTGTCTCTTCCACATCGATCCTCGTAAATCACGAAATAAAATAGAAAAAGCAAAGAAAAGAAAAAAACCCTAACGTTTCCAACCTCCCCCAAATCGGACGGCTAAACCCGACAAGAGCAGAAGAAATCAAGGTTAAAGACTACACATGGCGCACAATGAAGACAAAAGGAGAGGAAAATTATAGTTACCGGCGTAGCGCGAATCTGGCGTTAAGATGAGTTTTTTTGCTCCTTTCTACTGTTATTGCGTGTTGTTCTTCTCGATCTCCCCCCCTTTTCTATGAGTATGTGCATCCTTTTATAGGCATATCACCATTGATCTCTTGAATCTGGATATTGAATGTGAGATGTTGATCTGCTTGAATATGGTTTATGGAAAGAAACATCGTGGTTATGAGTCTTGATTCTTGTATTTTCTGTAATGAATTCCTTACTTGTTTTAAATCGACATGTTTGGATTGAATTGATTATTGCCGATTCACAAATTGAAGAGTTTCCTTTTTTTACATGATTGTGTCTGATGGTTGTTTTTAGGAAGCATTTAGGCTGCTGTGGGCATATTTCCAAGGCAATAATATTGTTTCCGTTTTGGTCAAAACATGCTTAAACGTGTTGGAAACCTTTTCTTGTTGAAAATCTGACTCACTCGTGTGCTTCGCCCAGGTTATGGTAACGACAGATTTATGTTTTAAATGTGCTTGATTTTAATGAGGATGACGATTTTTACATGATTTCTGTGTGATTCTGCTTAATGGTTATGATTCTGTCCATGACATATACTCACCGCCCACTGTATTTTCTAACTTGGTGGTTTTATCAGATGTGCGCAAGGTTCTGTGAGGAGTTCCAAAGCTTGCAAATGGCACTCTAGCGATGATGTGGAACCGACCTTTCCTCCAGGCTTTTTGTATCAGAGTCTCACTAGCGGAGGCATTTGTTGATGTTTTACTAGTCTCTTTGAAGCCATTAAGGGGTGCAAACTTCATTCAAGGCACTAGTCAGGTGAAAGGATTATCAAGAGGGAGCTATGATCTCAAAGAAAAACCGACGTCCGTCTCAATTGCTTGGAACCTGCGGGTGAACCTAAAGTTTTCTTTTAATTGGGAAGTCTTGATAACAGCCGACTTTGGTCAATGCCTAGGATTAGGATTTGTTTTGTGTAGCTTTCTTGTCTTGTTTTCCTTTTGTGATTTATTCTCGTGTCACTTCCACTTTTGTTCTTGTAAGAGTAAGACATTTTGACGTGGTGCATACTGAAAGTCATAACTAAACTCGTGGGTAATAAAGACCTATAAGCTCTATTGCAAAAGCGGTTGAGTCGATGATGGAGTTCCTGTAGGAGAGATCCAAACTATAACTCGTGCAAGGTCCCGACATTTGAAAACATGGCGGACGTCATAGGTCCCTCAGGCGACAAACTTCCTTTCAAAACTTGTCCAGAAGTTTCGAACCGGTAGTGGTTATCAAGGTTTGGTTCACGTGCTCTCCAATTTCTATGATTCTCCTGTTGTCCACTAAATTTGTTTTGAAATTGGTAAGCCAATCCTCCTGGAATTTCATGCTCTTATGCCAAATGATTGTACCGGGCTTTAACTCGCAGGTATGTTAAAAACTATTCTACTAAACTGATAACTCATAAGTTAGTGCAGGTTTTATGGCCGAGCTTTTTAGGCGGAAATTTGGGCGTGGCTGGCGACCTTCAAAGAGGGGCTACCATTCACAAGGCATATGTTGTTCATTTTACGGGTGGAAGAGCGTTGGTCCCGGTTATTGCAACTTATGTTCTACAACTCATCTTGAAGAATTTTGCCATGAGAACAACATAATTCCGTTTCCCCTTTGGAAAAGGATGAACTTTTGTAGGATTATAAGAATTTGGGAATGCCTGTAATTTGGATGTGAGCTTTGCTTTGAATGAGACAAAAGAAAACATTCTCATTTTGAGATGGGCTTTGTTATGCTTTCAAGATTTGAACTTTTTAATGATTTACATGTATTTTGAAGTGAGTTTCAAATGTAAAGGTGCTCTTAGCACATGTGAAGTCTTTGTATTTTGCAATTTGGAAATTAGTCTTGAACTTTATATCCTTGAATTTTAAAATTAAACCTGATGCAAATTATATAAGAAACTCTCTGTAACTTGAACTTTGCACTTCTCTTGATGAATGAAACCTTACGACTTAAAACTTGTATAACATGGACTCGAGCTTGGACGAATCTTTGTGTAATAAACTAAAATGTAAGAAAAGGTCATGGGATTTTTGGATTCATGGATATGGATTAAATTAGATAAAGCGTGGTTGTGGGAGATGGACTTTAGGATAGGTTTACGGATATGGTTAAGAAAGTAGTAAATGGTTTTGGTTGGATATATATGGATTAAATTAGATAAAGCGTGGTTGTGGGAGATGGACTTTAGGATAGGTTTACGGATATGGTTAAGAAAGTAGTAAATGGTTTTGGTTGGATATGAATGGTTAAGAAAGTAGTAAATGGTTTTGGTTGGATATGAATGGTGGATAATGGTTGATGAACCTTTCTCCTATTAGAATATTATTAATAATTCATATTTATTTAGTTGTACTATTTTCTTAGCCCCTAAGTTTGTTAGAGGGTATTTTAGTATTTATCTTATCCTAGTAACCCTAGTTTTAGCTTATAAATAGGGTGACAATCATTGTAACAAATGTCATGTTTTGTAGCCGTCATTCTCTTATTAGTAATATTTCCTATTTCATCATTTATTCTATCTTTGCACCAACAATTGGTATCTAGAGCTCCGATTCAGATTCATTGGGAAACACGGGAAACACGAGTGAACGTGAGGTCTTGTGTGTTTGATTTTGTTTCTCAGATTCTTGTTGAATCTTGAACAAAATCTGATCAGAATTTTTTAATTCTGTGGGTTGGGAAACACTGCGTGAGAAAACTCTGAGTGTATTGTGCAAAGTAGAAGATGAACGGAAACGGCAACATGAACACCAAACTTCCAGTATTTGATGGTAAAAACTGGAATCGTTGGATGATCCAAATGCGTGTACTGTTTGGTGCTCAAGATGTTCTGGATCTTGTCACTGATGGTTATGTTCCAGTAGCAGCAGATGCAACTGATGAACAGAAAAACGCGCAGAAGGAAGTAAGGAAGAAGGATCAGAAAGCATTGTTCTTCATTCATCAATGTGTGGATGTAAACGTGTTTGAGAAGATTGCAGACTCTACAACAGCAAAGGCTGCATGGGACACTCTGGTGAGATGTTATGGTGGTGACGCATCAGTGAAGAAGGTGAAACTTCAGTCCTTGAGAAAGCAATATGAGAATCTCAACATGAAGAATAATGAGAAAGTTTCTGAATACATCTCCAGAGTGATTCTGATCACTAATGAGATGAAGGCGTGTGGAGAAACTCTTTCTGAAGAAACAATCATGGAGAAGGTATTGAGATCCCTTACTCCTCAATTTGATTACATTGTGGTAGCAATAGAACATTCCAAAGATCTGAGCACAATGAGAATTGAAGAGCTGCAGAGCAGTCTAGAAGCGCAAGAGTTGCGTCTGACTGAGAGAAACTCTGAAAAGGAAGTAGAACAGCAGGCTCTGAAAGCAACTTCTGATAGGAGGTATCAGAAGCAGTCAGAAGTCAAGAGAAGATCTGATGGTGGTCAGAAGTCAGAAAGCTCAACCTCTGATAGACAAAAGAATGCTCAGAGGGGAAAAGAGAAGTATGACAAAAGAAAAATACAATGTTACTGTTGTAAGAAGTTTGGTCACTTTGCTAGAGATTGTTGGTCAAACAAGGAGAAGAAATCAGAAGAAGCAAATATAGTCAGAAGTTCTGATGACGAATCTGTGCTATTGATGGCCTCTGAATCTGATGATCTGACAGACTGGTGGTATATGGACACTGGCTGTTCAAATCATCTTACTGGAAACAAGAAATGGCTGGTTGACTTTGACTCTGAAAAGAGAACAAAGATCAGATGTGCTGATGACAAATATCTTAATGCAGAAGGTATGGGAAATGTCAGAGTGACTCTGAACAATGGGAAAATAGCATTGATTCAGAATGTGTGGTATGTACCTGGCATCAGAAGCAATCTGATGAGTGTGGGACAATTAATTGAGAAAGGTTTCTCAGTTACCATGAAGGACAATCTTCTGAAGCTGTATGACTGTAATCAGAAGTTGATTATGGAGTCAGAACAGGGAAGGAATAGAACATTCAAGGTGAATGTCAGAACTGCAGACTCAGAGTGTCTTAGTGCAACAAGTACTGAGAAGGAGAGTGAGCTGTGGCACAGAAGATTTGGTCATTTGAATTTCAGAAGCTTACAACATCTGAATTCAAAGAAATTGGTACATGGAATTCCTGCAATTAAGAAGCCTGAAAAGTCATGCAAAGTTTGCATGGAAGGAAAACAACCAAGATTGCCATTTGCATCAGAAGTTGCTCCAAGAGCAAAACATGCCTTGGGAGTTGTACACTCTGATGTGTGTGGTCCATTTCCAGTAGCATCAATTGGAGGGAATAAATACTTTGTGTTGTTTGTTGATGAATTCACAAGAATGACATGGGTATCCCTTATTAAGTTCAAACACGAGGTGTTTGATGAATTCAAGAAGTTCAGAATGAAGGCTGAGAATCAGAGTGGTCAGAAGTTGAAGATTCTTAGAACTGATGGTGGAGGTGAGTATAACTCCAAAGAGTTCCAGAAGTTCTGTGAGGAGAATGGAATTGAGCATGAGGTTACTGCTCCTTATACCCCTCAACACAATGGTCTTGCTGAAAGAAGAAACCGTACTTTGCTTGATATGGTGAGAAGCATGCTAAAGGAGAAGAAGCTTCCTCAGAAGCTCTGGGGAGAAGCTGTTGCCACTGCAACGTATGTACTCAACAGATGTCCTACGAAGAAGTTGAAGGAAATAGTTCCTATGCAGAAGTGGACTGGAGACAAGCAAAGTGTTAGTCATCTGAAGGTATTTGGTTCTGTTTGCTATAAACATGTTCCAGAAGCCAGAAGACAGAAGCTGGATGATAGAAGCAAAGTGATGATTCTGATAGGGTACCACAGTACAGGTGCATACAAGCTCTATTGTCCAGAAACCAATAAAATTGAATTCAGCAGAGATGTGATTGTGAAGGAATCAGAAGTTTGGAATTGGGATAAGTCTCAATCTGATTCTGATGTTAGAACCTCTGAAGAAAGGCCAGAGTTAAGAATTTCTGAAGTTGAAGTAAACCCTGACGTTGACTCTGACTCTGATACTGATTCAAACTCTGAAGATGACTCAGAAGATGAAGGTGACTCTGATGACCCAGACTCTGATGATTCAGACTCTGATGGCAATCCAGATCTTGGTGGCAATTCAGACTCTGGAAATATGCCAGACTCTGAAGATGGTCAAAGCTCTGGAGGTCAATCATCTGAAGCTAGAAACTCTGAAGCTCAAGACTCTGAACAAGTTCAGAGACCACAAAGAATCAGAAGCGTTCCCAGAAGATTTGCAGAATTTGACATGCTGCAAGACACTGAAGTAGACTCTGAAGGAGAAGTTATTCAGTGTGCCATGTTAGTAGACTCTGAACCTATAAGTACAGAGGAGGCTCTTAAGCAGAAGCTCTGGCTGAAGGCCATGAAAGAAGAACTTGATGCTATAGAGAGAAACAAGACTTGGAAGCTGACAGAACTTCCAAAAGACAAGAAAGCCATCAGCGTCAGATGGGTTTTCAAGCAGAAGTTAAAGCCAGATGGTTCAATTGGCAAACATAAAGCAAGGTTGGTAGCCAGAGGATTTCTACAGAAACCTGGGCTGGATTATTCTGAAGTGTTTGCACCTGTAGCAAGACATGAAACAATCAGAATGGTGATTGCAATAGCTGCTAACAGGAATTGGCCTCTGATGCATTTAGATGTAAAATCTGCATTTCTGAATGGTCCATTAGAAGAAGAAGTTTACGTGTCACAACCTCCTGGATTTGAGGAAAAGAATCAGGAAGGGATGGTGTACAGATTATACAAAGCTCTATATGGACTGAAACAAGCGCCCAGAGCTTGGAATCAGAAGATTGATTCATTTTTCAAGAAACAAGGCTTTCAGAAATGTGAGATGGAGTACGGTGTCTATGTTCAGCATACTTCTGAAGGCAATATGACTCTGGTATGTTTATATGTTGATGATATACTATTGACTGGAAGTTCTGAACAGGAGATAGCCAAGTTCAAGAAGGTTCTAATGAATGAATTTGAAATGACTGATCTAGGCAAAATGACATACTTTCTAGGGATGGAGTTCAGATATTCTGAGAAAGGTATCATTTTGCATCAGCTCAAGTATGAATTAGAACTTCTGAAGAGATTTGATCTGAAGAATTGTAAGATGGCTGTCACACCTTCTGATACAAATCAGAAACTGGATTCAGACTCTGAAGGAAAGGATGTGGATGCTACAACCTTCAAACAGTTGGTTGGTTCTCTGAGGTATCTGTGCAATACCAGACCTGATATTTGCTACTCAGTTGGGATGGTTAGTAGGTTCATGAGTAAACCTAAGTGGTCCCATTACCAAGCTGCTGTCAGGATTCTGAGGTATATCAAAGGAACTCTGAAGTATGGAGTGTTATTTCCCTCTGGAGGAAATAATGAGTCAGAACTTCTGAGTTATTCAGACTCTGATTGGTGTGGAGACAGAGTTGACAGAAGAAGTACATCTGGGTACTTGTTCAAATTTCTGGGAGGTCCCATTTCTTGGTGTTCCAAGAAGCAACCTGTTGTGGCGTTGTCAACCTGTGAAGCTGAATACATTGCAGGTGCTGTTACTGCATGCCAA